GGCCGATTCCCGAGCCTTGGGGGTTGGCTCGACGGCCCGTGCCATTGCGCCAGTGGAGTGATTGCAGGCTGCTCCATGGCCGCGACGTTCATCATCGAGTTTTGTCAGGGCGGTTACGATTCGATCCCTCCCCTTTCTCATCTCGATCAGGGCGTGTACATCGACGATCAGGGTCTTCCGAGTGCGGACGTTTCCTCCCGCGCCGTCAAGGCCTTGGCCCGTAGGGCCAAAGCGCCCCAGAAGGCTGCGGAGTTTTCTTTCGGCTATTCGCTTGCTCTGGACAAGACGGCCGCTGTGGCTTCCACTGAGGCGATCGGGGAGGAGGTGGCTTATGAACTTTCGGACTGTGGGGGGCGTTTTCTTTCTCGCGCTGTCAACTTAGGCGTGGGCTACACCGCTGGTCGCGCCCACAGAGTTGGCGGCGAGCGTTCCAAGCTAACCGCGCGCGTTGCTAAGTCTGGTCGAGCCTCCACGAGGCTCGAGCGTCAGAGCAAGATGCTGCCGCGGGCCCAGGTCCTTCGGGCGTTCCCGGCGGGCCCCTTGGCTGAGGCCACGTGCGGCCCCGAAATCGCGGGCGCGGGCGATTCGGCCCCCCCCCCCCGCCTCAGGAGGTTTGATCAGGCCGACCTCGCAGCTGCGAAGCTTGACGGCGGCTGCGCTGCTCGACTTCGATCCCTGTTGGCGCGCGGCGACGGATCCGACAGTGAGGTGGTCCAAGGAGATCTGGCTCTGCCAGACAGGCGCTTTCCCCTGGTCCCTGTCCCTCGCGGCCCTCCGTCGGTTCTCGGAAGCAGTCTTTTCGAAACCTTCTGGTTCCTGGAGGTTTGTCTCGGGCCTTGTTTCCGCCCTCAGGATGAGCCATTCTAGGCTTGGTTGGCACGTGGGCAATTTCATGGCCCTTCGAGACGACAGAGGCTACGCGCTGCCTCTTGGCCTGCTGTCTCCTGCCCTCATTGCGGTTCCAGTGAGGGGCGGGTATTTTCACGTGCTCGAGCGTGAGTCTGGGGAGAAGCGTGGCATTATGCCCAGACTTTGCTACGACATGGTGCGCGAGTCGCTGCGCGGCAAAAAAAAAAAACACCGCGTTGCAGAAGGGCGCGTTCGAGCCTTCGCCGCCGAGGCGTTCTTCACGGGCCAGAGAGCCCAGAGCAAGAGGTATCTGGTACACGGGAAGTACCCTTTTCGCGGAGCTCTCGGCACCGTCTTCCACCGCTTCTGGGAGTGCTCCCGCGAGCCTGTGGCGTGTCTTCGAGCGGAGCTGGTGGATCCTGAAGTGGCGTCTGCTGCGTTGTCTGCTAAGGTTGGCACGGACCCCTCGGAGGCGTTCGCGTTCTCTTCTGGGGCTTTCCGCCACCCCGCCGACGGCTGCCCCGGGCCCTGTGCGGAGCTCGATGATGGTCCCATCTTTGTGCGCCACCACCGGGACTCCCGCCGCCCAGATGGTCGCGTTCCTGGCGTCGGGTTCTGGGTCTCGCTGTTCATGGACGGTAGCTGTTCGCGTCATCCTGTCAGGGAGCTGTCCAGAGCTGCTTGCTGCGTTGTTCAAGTTGACAGCTTCGGAGATTCTCTTTGTGAGCTCAGAGCCGCCATTTGGGCCCCTTACCCTTAGACGGTTTAGTCCGCCGGGTTCGGATGTTTCACGTGGGCTGCTGTTCTGGCTTCTGCACGTTCCGTGCCAATTCCGACTGTCTGAATGTCGTCCGACAGGCATGCAGACCGAATGTGGGGCAGCTACCGTGCTATAAGGCTCATTCTGGAGCCATCGCCCAGTTGCACCTCCAGGGTAGACCGCTCCCCGTGGAGTGTGTGAAGGGAGCCGCGCGTCGTGGCGTCGACGAGCCTAGCATTTCCTCCCGGGAGCGCTCTGGCTTCGCAAAGGTACTCAGCACGCTGACGCGGCGGCCAAGCATGCATTGCGCTTGTGCCCGTCTGACCCCGACGCCTTGGTTGGGGCCGACGGGCAGGTGAAGCATGCTCGAGCCACGATTCGGCTCGCGGCTCACGTGCTGCACCTGTGGCCAGCCATCGGTTTGTCCGAAGTCGGCAGACGCGAATTCCTGTCTTCCGTCTCCTGTCGGACCACTCGCACGTGGCAGCATTGGGGGGGGGCATCTGGAGGCGCGCCGCGTGCTTCAGATGATCTCATGCGGAGCAGCTTCCGCGTTCTGCTTGCTCTGGGCATTCTATGCTGCATGCTGCCTCGCAAGATGCCCTGAATCATCACACCGTCGCCTTTGATTGCATCGACTGGTCCGTCCTTTTTATTTGTACCCGTTGCAAATGCCATTCCAACGGGGAGCGGATCAGGAGTTTACGTTCGACCTGCAGCCCGCCAGCCTCTCCTGCCCGCCGCGTGGGTTTGCATGCGCTCAGTCAGGGCCGCCACCCTCACTGCAGCAGACAGAAGCTTGGAGCATCGGTCGACGTCGGCACCTTGATACCCTGCTTCAGTATTTTGTTTTCCTGTGATGACCCCGTGCCCGCCGCCCAGGCTAGCGCGGCTGTCAGTTCGGAGGCGCAACGGCCATTCGCTGTTGCCGCCAATCTTCGCAACGAGGAAGGCTCGCAGCCGCTCTTCCCAGCCATCGGTCAGAGACATCGGTATTTTGCGTTCGCTGACATCTCCCTCCGTTGTCAGTGAAGCCTTTTATTCCATATGTCAAATTTGGAGGGCTAGGCGTGGAGCCAAACAAACAACTCTCGGGGGCCTCTTGGGGGCCTCTTGGGTCGTCTTGGGACCATCTTGGGCGCCTTGGAGCACTCTTGGGCCGTCTCGGAGGCCTCCTGTACCGTCTTGGGGGCCTTCTATGAAGGATTGTGGCTTCGAAAGCGCGAACGAGGGTCTATAACTTCGGGGACGCGTAGAGAGCACCATTTACGAGGGATCGTTGCTTCGGGAACGCATGTATTAAGCCATTTACAAGTGAGTGTTGCTTCGGAGACGCGAGCAGGGAGCAAATTTCAAAACATGTGGTCTCGGAAGCGCGAACACAGCGTACTCTGCGAGGGTTTATGGCATCGGGGACGCGAGCATGGTGTAACCGACGAGGGGTTATGGCTTCGGGGGCGCGAATACAGCGTAGCTTACGACGGATTATGACTTCGGGGGCCCGAACCTCACGTGACCCTTCTGAAAGTCTGAGACCCCCCCCGGTGAAGGTAATAATCAGGGTTTTTTCGGCTCCCCCCCCCTCGCGCGGACTTCAACAGTTCACAGTAGGAAGCAGAACACAGAAGTGGAATTCGGAGACTGGAAACTGGAACTGGAGCAGGGAGCAGCAAGCCCAAGCCGCGGAGCCTGATGGCCCCGCAAGGGGGCTGGCGGATCCTGTTCCATGATGTTTACCCCGATCGCTTCTCTTCGCCTTCCTCTTCGACAATCCCCCCCTGGACAATCCCCCCTGGTTAAAGACCCCACGTTCTCACGCAGTAAGGCCCAACTGGCGCCAAGCTGGCTGAAGCAACAAAGAGTCCCCAGCGATGGGTATCCTCCTCCTCCACCTCCACCTCGTTCGTTCGTTCGTTCGCGTCGGGTGAGAAGGGTCGATGCCTAAACTCAGGAAGATTGCGAGACAGAGCAGGATGGAGACGGCGGCGACGAGGAGTCACCAGACCCCCAAGGCCGCGCGAGGGCAGGACCCAAGCCGGAGCACCCCCCAAAGAGCGGAGACGCGGGGGAGAAACAGAGGACGAGGGGGAGAGCAGGAGGCCGCGGGGGGGGTGCATGGGCAAGGGTCTCGCCAGCCCTCCGGAGAGGGCACAAAGGGAAAGGGCCGCACGACCAACGAGCGTCTCGAGCCGGGTCCAGCACCCGACTCCAATCTCTGGCCAGTAAGGTGCGCACGGGCTAACGCCCACCTTTGACATTATGGCAGAGCCCAGGATGCTTGCACCGGCCCGGACTCACGGTAAGATCGAAGCGAAGCCTGAGAAACTGTGATCTTCCAGGTGCCGGATGATATGATGGCACGTGTCGAACCTAAGACCCTGGAGGCGAGGAACAAGCTTGGGCAGCAGGAGTTGCAACACTTCGCTGAAGGGAATCGGCTGCACAGCGGAATGTCCCATCCCACGGGTCGTTCTGGTCCATGACTCGATCGAGTCATTGCCCCAGGACTGTGCATATTACGTTGACCCTATCATTAATTGAGTCGGAACCGCTGGACTTGTTCTTGAGAGCTCTTCAAATGAGAGTGTGGTCTGGCAAAGCTGCTGCTCGGCTTCCCGGATGAGTGCTGCTTGAACAACCCAACTGCCGAATCCACACTATCTGTCCCGAATGACAATGTATTCGCATATCCATGCGATACGGCAGTAATAACTCGAGCTTGAGGACGCGCTCAGGGCGTATGTCCAGCGCTCCTTGGGCTGGCAGCCGCAGAAGACTCTCCTCGGTCACCGAGCTCGCCGTGCCTGCGAATGAGTGGCAGGTCCCGAAGCCCAACACGAGGATGGTCAGGAGCCTGGCTTGGAACAGGTGAACCGAAGCCTGTGCGAAGAGCAGCGTCCAGCGCCGTAGCAAGGCGGGGAGGGGCGGCACTCGCGGTGCTTGAAGGCCGCGGTCGCCTTGACCAAACACTGGGCAGCCCGAGCCTGAGCGCGGAGCGCCTGCGTACAGCGCTCGGCGGCCGAGAGGGGTGGGCGGCGGGCCTGGAACCGTGGGTGCATCTTGTGCGAGGGAGAGATGCGGGGATGGGGCAAAGGCAGGCCGGCCGGGGCCTCCTGGCGCAGGCTCGCAAGGCCCAGGGGGGCCCGCCAGAGCCAGCGCTCTCCTCCTCGTCCTCGTCGTCCTCCTCCTCCCCGTCCCTCCTGTCTCATCTCACCCTCCTTCCTCCTCCTTCCCGATGTCCTCGCAATCGTTCTCTTCCCCCTCCTCATCCTCCGTGTCCCTCTCTTTTGTCATCTTGTCTTCCTTCCTCCTCCTCCTCCTCCTTCCTGGTGTCCTCGTCGTCGTCCTCCTTGTGCCTTGTCCTGCTGCTGCCCCCCCCCCTCGGTGCGAGGTCATCCTCCAACGCCTGGCCGTCCTCGACGACAAAGTGGACAAGATGACGGCCATGCTCGTGCAAACCCTCCGCGTCTCGGAGACGGGCAGCTGGAAACTATACCGGGAAGCCAGATGCACACGCGCGCCGGCCGAAGTTTCGGCCGATCCCATCCGGTATAAGGCGTCGGGTTGCGCACAGACATCTCCTCCAGGTTGTCCCAGCCTGCCTCAACAGGCCCCCCGAGTAGTCCAGGGCGGCAAGGTCTCATCAGGGCTTGGGTGTTGAGACCGCACCAGGCTACTCGGGGGACTCGTTGAGGCCAGTCGGGACAGCCTGGTTCGGGCTGTCTGTGCGGAGCCCGAAACCTTACCAATCGCATTCATGTATCGGAAATCTGCGGCCGGCGTTTTCGGGTGAACGCGCCGATTCCGGCCAGATCGAGGGCTCCGCACGGGGCCTGAAGCCCTCATGTTTCCCGCACTCGCCGCTGCGAGCCACGCCGACGTCGAGAAGTGTAGGCCCACGCTCGCATGACGTGGTTGGCCTGGCCGAGAGCTGGACGCACGCGTTGTCGCGTGCCGCTGTACCACCGGTCGGCCCTTCTTCTAAAGCCAGGTGCGCCCGAGCCAGCCCTCCGCTCATGTATCCAGCCGGGTGACCTTCGCGTGCTTCCCGCGCGTCAGCCCAGCGGCGTGTGCTTTGCGCCATCTGCCCCAGCCATGCCCAGCCCATCCTTGGCAAAGGGTTGTGGCAACTTCGGCCTCTGGGGGCCCTCGCCAGGCCCCGGCCCCCCGTTGAAAACCGATTCCAGATGAAAAGTCAGTCCCACGGAAAGGCTCCAGGCCTCTGAGGTGCCCCGCTGTGAACAATCACAATGCCGGGGATTTGGCTATCCCAGCCCAGGCCAGGAGGGTCTGCAGATCGGACCCCCGATCAGAATGAGGTGCTCTGCCAAGGCTGCCGTGCATCCTTGGCCCTGCTCTGGCATTGGCCACCAGCTTTCGCTTGCTAGCCGCTGAGGAGCTTGAGACCCTCAGAGGCCTTGTAGCTGTGCCCTGCGTCCGCATGACCAGCCTCGACCGTAGCCAGGAATGGTGGCAGTGTTGTATC